CTGAGTTTGTTTGTGGCTCCTTGGATTGATGAAGTCCTTTGGATGAAGGATGAAACGTCTCAACAACAACAAAAAAAGAAACCGTCCAGATGAACTGACTTTTGTTGGAAGGCATATTCATGTTGACCATAACTGACTTATGACAGCAAGAAAGGTAATAAAATCCAAGAAAGTGAATATTTTAAAGGTACTATATATAAGATAAAAAATTTTAAGGTTCAGAGTTTTATGATGACAATAATTCACTATGGTCTTACCGTTGTGTCCTTCACAATGTTGTACATTTGTTGTGATTTGGCACGATACAGATAAACTGAATAGAATTGAATTTCTCATAACTGGGGTTAATTAAAAGCTTCTAAGACAGGTTAGATATTTATTTGTGACATTTGCAGAGAATCACAAAGGGACTGAACTATTACTTTATGTAGAGCAGGGCTTTTCAACTGAATTGCTCAGGGGGGCACAACTACTGAACGCTAACAGCTCAGGAGCTGGACATCCAGCAATTAAAGCCATTATATACGTCATTAAACCAAGTACTATGATGACCTGTTACCTTTTAAATTTGTTCATTTTGCTGCCTTGAATCATAAATGCAATAAACAGAAACCAAAAGTGTAATTCAAAGAAATGACATTTTAAGATTTATTTACTTGCAATAAAAGAAGTGATATTCTTATGTGAAACAATATTAAAAAATAAAAGTGACACATTATGCCTCCTATTTAAAACAGATATTATTCTGACATCTCTGACTTGTCAAATCTTTACGTTTTTCAAAAAACAAACAAACGAACAAACAAAAAGTTGACTGTTTTGGATGTTCCCTAAATGACCTGTTGCTGTTCCAGGTAAGTCCATTAAGAACCAGTTCTCATTTACAATGAAATGGCTGCAGACCAGTTGTTCCTCAAACAGTTCATAAATGACAGGTGAAGCGTCCACGTCTCGCTCAGATGTGAGCTTTGAGCAGAACCAAAAGAGACGGAGCAGAACTCAGCTGGGCTGAAAGCGAGCACCATGGATTTGCGTGTTGAACTTCTCCTTATCATTTACTATAATGAATTAACTTACTGTGTCCTATTAGTGGTTAACTATTTTTAAACTAACTACGAAGCTGCTGTGCATCCTCATCAGTATTCCCCCAGTAATAAATCTGTTTGTTGGTTAATCCAGCTTACGAGAGATTGCAAACTGATATGGTTAGTTTATGAGAACTCCCTGCACATTGAGGGAAAGAGAAAGGGCACCACTCCACTAGAGTGCGCAGCCTTTCGCTCATGTTGCTCCTAATTCTTATAATTAAACATTATTAACACCATAACACAGATATTTTGCAGGCCACAGATGAAAGCAAAGATTTGTGTTTTTAACTTTGTTTTATTTTCCCCCAAATTCAAAAAGTTATCTCTAAAGAGTCCCAGGGAGACTGTGCAAACTGCAGAGCATGCTGGTTAGCCTTGTGGAAATTATGTGTGTAACGTTTCTGACTGGTTTCAATAATATCCGGCTCAAGTTTGTTTTGGCATTTATGTCAAAGTCTCTGATGTTGGCTGTAAACTGACACCATGGGTCAAAGGTTGTTCCTGGTACACTTAGGAAGGAAAGCACTGAGTGGTTTGGTACTGGTTACAGTGAAAATTCTCACTAAAGAAAGGTCACTGAGTGATGCCTGGTCTGGCCTTTCATTGTGTCATGTAAGACGACAGAGAGGGGCTCATCTTAAAGTCTTCATTCGTATGCATGTGAAAATTGAGATGGGCACATAAAAGGATTGCCTCCCTGTCTTAAATATTTTCCGTTTCAGTATTTTAATAGGTCTCACTCACTGATTTTTTTCTGAAAAAATAAAAATAAAATGAAAAAATAAAATAAAAAATAATGAGCTCATCAGTGGGCCACTAGCCCTGATGTAGAGACCTGACATCAGCTAAAATGATCATGAAATGTCTTTGTCCAGTTTACTGTACAGATTTTTAAACACCTATGGTTTATCTAACAAGGATGAGTCAGGTCCTCTGGACAGATTCTTCTTTGTTGAAACATTTTGTCTTTTATCCAAAGGACTTCTTCACGATGAAACATTTCAACCAAGAAGAATCCGCCCAGAAGAAGCATCTCAACCTTGTCAGATGTACAAAGTATCTACCTGGATTATTGAGCATGTATCAAAATGCATTTGGCTTAATTTTGAGTATTACTGTTATTGAGTCAGCTGAGGTTGTTAAAAGAGTTATCTACAACAAGTTAAGATTATCATTGTAACATTTCCACGGAACACTTCAAAAGATCTGAACTATCCCTTTAACACAATGACGTTTCCAAAACTGAAGAAAACTGAAAACTGCAGCCCGAATCAATATATTTACTAAAATGAAAGGGGCGACACAACGAGATTATTTCATATTTTTTATATAAATTAACAATTTATACATCGTTGATAAAGAAAAAATACAAAATTCTTTTGATCTTACATGACATTTACATGTGAAACTTTACACAACATATTTAATAACTTACAAATGCTTTATTTGCATAAAAAATAGATCTTATTACAAAAGTTTTCCAGTATGTACATATTTACACACACACACACAGGTTCTTGAATGAGATAATTGTGTGGCAAGTTTGAAAGCTTTCTTTGCTCAAGAGTTTCTGAATGCAACACTCACAGTTTGCTGCTTGTACCAGGTGCATTTCTTCCCTCGCCCCGTAAGAAACGTGAACTCGCAAAATATATTACATATCGATAACACAAGACATTGTCAAAGAGTGCCATCAAGTATCAAAACTGTATAAATGTACAAAATGGAGTAGCAGTGACACGAGTCAACTGAGTGGTACAAAGTACTGTAGCAGCAACGTCTGTACTGGATCAGTTTTTGCCGACATGCACAGGTATGAAACTGTGAGCTGCTTCTCGCCTCCCCTCCAGAAACCATCTGACATCACTCTGCTAAATCATTGCAAACTGGGCAGAGAAATCCCACCAGTGTGCAGTTTTACAAATGAAATAAGTGTTGCGCTTTGCTTTCAAAAACATGCCCATACAGTATTCAAGGCACTGCAATGATGTAGAAATGTGATGACAGCAATGAATTCGCCTTTCACTTTGAAAACACAGTTGGATTTGAGTGACGGTGGCTCGTGTGGAAAGTGTGCAAATTCTTCCATGTGTACTGTACATGTGTTGGCAGAAGCTGACGGTTGTGTAAGACATCAACATGACTGGTGACAGAAAGGGTGAACGAAGTGGGGCCGGGGCTGTATATTCACCGAGACTCTTAAGAGTAGGAGCGTTAAACAAGAAAGTTCTGTCTAAGGCACAGTTTCCCCAAAGCAAATTAGAGAAACAGAAACACAAGTTAGTTGAAAATCAGAGCAGGTTTCACTAAATTACACTCTGAATTCGAGTTACTCTAAAGTAAGAGACACATTTCAAAGGTTTTATGAGCACAATACAAAACATTTACCGGTAGCTTCATCCCCCTTCAGACTGCCCAGAGACACATCTTTGCACTGATGGAAAGACATATGGATTTGCAGGTTCTGAGACTTCATTAAAAAAAAAAAGTCTGCAGATCCCTCCCATTTAAAATTACGGATTTAAATAGTGAATGTTTGTAGTTTATGAGTGTTTTTTCTGGACTGGACCAGAACAGAGAATTCAACCTTAATGTTTTTGGTGCAAGATATTTAGCTGGGTAGGATTTTTTCTTGTATGAGGCGGCGCAGGGTGACAGATCCTGTCGAGTGGAGGGAGCAGTTTTATCCACCACCAGCTGCAATGGTGGAGCCAGGGGGTGGACAATGGTGGCCTTGGCCACCATACATTAATCTTCAGCCACCCAAATCACTTGAGGAAATTATACTTTTAAGCAATATGAAAACTAGAAAGCATAGTTTCCTCAAATGATAGGGGTGGTTGACAACATGGCCATCTTGGAATTTGACATGGCAACTCAATTTTTTAAATTAACCTGTTTCTTGTGCCTAGATGCAGCCACACCCCAGAATTTGTCAGTACGTCACTTATTTTTCAAGTTATCATGCTCACAACATGCATGAACAGACAAGTGGATGGAGAGAGGGTATTTCCCTATTTTTGCTTTGCAATGAGGGACAAAAAACTAACAAACAAGGAAAAAAGTCCTACCTTAAGATTCATGACATATACAAGCACAAGGCAGGGGTAATTCACTTTACGTTTTTTTATTTTTTATTTATCTTTTTGAAACCCAAAATGTTTCTGTGCTGAATAAAAATCTTACTAAGAAAATACATTTAAAAGTAACTCGGCTTTCACAAGATGACGAACGTCTCAAGGTGACAAACACACTAGAAAGAACCAAATGCCTAGTCAGAAGTTTAAATGGTCACTTAAACATTTCTGCCCAAAACAAATTAATTGCACCCAACTTGACAATAAACCGAACACAGGCTGCAGCTCTGCTGAAGGAAATGGACTCCACAGTCAGAGAACCTGCACTGTAACAATAAAAGCCCTAGCGTTCCCAGTGGCACTCAAAACACTGTACTGCACTTCAGTAGTTAAATCCCCAGCCATATATCTCACCAGTAAGAGGTACCATCCAATTAAGAGGTATAATTGACCGTATAACTTTGAACAGACGATAGCACTGACACTATTCAGAGAGGCAGTTTCTTTCTGCTGCTGCAGTTCCTCTGACATGCTTACCATTTAGAAAAATAACTCCCTGATCCCATTGATCAGATCAGAAGCTCCCCTTCTCCATAACAGAAAATAATTCTCATCAGGGCTGGGAACAAAAAAAAAAAAAAAAAAAGAAGATGATAGATCTGGATTGTTTGAAAAACAAAATGTCTATGTTATTTGGTATTGTGAAATAAAACCTCTGTATTTATATTACTGAGCATAAAATACTCAATTTGATCTATTTGCCAATAAGGAGCCGGCACTCACAGAGTGCAAAAAGACAAGATCTGAGAAGGTGTGGAACCCTTCCTCCCTCTTCCATATTTCATGTTATGAATGCAGATATTTGCAACATTTATAATTGTTGCTGAAAGTGTGCTTTATGTTTTGAGCAAAACTGCGTCTTTGCTGCAAATCAGCAGGGCGTGAGGAAATCAGCCTCTACGTTGCGGCGTAAAATTTAACAAGTTGTCTCCTCGCTCGTGTTGCGAGACGAGCAGCGGACATCAAACCATGGTGCAGATAGTGTTGAGGTTGGGGTCGAAGCGCACCACTTTCCCCTCAGCAGCTTTCGTGTTTGTGTTGTACATGGGGTTCTCGAACGTCGCCTGCCCGTTGTTGTTCTCGTGGACAGAACATCCCGTGTACTGCGCTTTATCTGTTTTTCTGTGGAAAATACATATAAATAATTTTTAAAACAGCATTAGCTGAAAGACAGGCTACCAGTTAGCAGTCCCATCCTCCCAATCACACAAACATGCTTTCATTATCTTGATGTGGACAGCTGCAAAAGGTAAATGAGGCTGTGAGGTAATTACTGTTGAAAAGAGCAGTCGGAGCAGCCTCATGTCATTTCACTAGTAACTAACATATTGAGAGCAACATTTGCATGTCAGACTACACATATGCACTTCCAGAGAGCTAATCTGTTTAAACCAAGACAAAATGCACACGCACCTAAAGCCCTCTCCATATGATACTAAAGTAGTTCTCATTAAAAGGGTCTGATGTATGCTGCTGTGTGACTCAGAGTGGATGTAATACACTGACTAATGTTGCATCATGCTTTGAAGTTTCTCACAAGCACACTACTATTTCTAGTGAGCAAGCTTTAGAAGCTCCAAGCTTCGACTACCTGCTCGACTTGTAAAATGTTTGCTTTGGCTCAAGGTGTTCAGACATAAAACTCTTAACAGGGAATCTGTGGTGAGAAGCTAAACCTTAGAAAAAGATCTTAAATTTGACTTCTAAAGAAGTGGCACAGCTTCTGAAGAACCGCCTACCTCTGCTTGTAGAGATAAAAGCCGAGGCCTGCAAAGATGAGGGCGAAGAAAGGCACAAGAATAGCAACAGCAACGGAGCTGCTGTTGGTGGAACCGTTGGGTTCGGGGTCCGGGAGGGTCACGTTCTCTCTCAGAGTCAAGCCTGACAAAAGACAAGCAATTTAGCGTTAATTCAAAACAAGAATGGCCGATAATACAATATGATTGCAATTGGTTCAAATGTAGAGCCCAAACAGAAAAATTAACCAAAGACAAAGCAGTGAAAGATACATATCTGCTGCTGCTGATGACAGTAATGATGATGATGATGAAAATGATGGTGAAGATCATAATGTGGAGCTGCAGTAGCCACTTGATAAAAAAAAAAGCCAGCCGCACTGATCACACTGATAATCATCCCTGTGACTGTGGTAATCTGGTTGAGAACAATCATGTGATAATGACAGCAGTGATGAGGAGCACAAAGAACTGAATGACAATGATGCTGAAGGGGACAAGCTGCTGCTTCACGTGTGAATGTGAATAAATGAGAGAAGGATGACAGCAGTGCACTGAAACGCCACGCATGTTCTCAGTGTGGGGAAAAATAATAGAACGTACAATTTACAGAATAAAAGAAGTGCTGTTAGAAAGTTAATGTTACATCGGATCACATCATTTTGTGTTGTATAACATCATGTGCATCTTCTTGTATCATATAACATATAATCTTCTATTGTATTATATCCTTTCATACATCCTCTCTTCATCTCAAAAAGTACTGCATATGGCACATTTTACGCCATTTACACACTAACATAAAGAAATCCCACAATCTATAGCCAGATAAGCAAATACCCTGTTTAAACGGTGATCTTGATTCGTGACCCTGACCTCGGAGCTTGGATGTTGCAAAGTGTGCGCCACTGACAAGAACCTGGTTTTTGGATTCAACAGTACAGCTAGACAACAAGAGCATTTAAACAATTTTATTGTTTTGAAGCTGCTGGTGGGAGTCTGGATCCCATCACAGGAACAGGTCTTCTCAGGCAGGTGAGGTGGGAGCCACCTGTCGGAGCTTGATGAGACAGTGTCACTGTTACTGGTGGGAGAGCAGCTGCAGAGGGAGGCCTTTACTGCTGTACATAGTTTCGACAGATGGGCAATCTTAAGTCGTGGTCCGAAAAGCAAAACGCAGGGGTCAAGCACGAGGAGTCAGAGGTCCAAAAACAAATCCAGAGGGTGATCCTTAATACAATATCCGTAGAGCAAAAAGAGTAGTCGTTACCAGGGTCAGAAGGGCAGAACAGGACCAGACGTGGAGCAGGCAGGACGGCGAATCAAAGAGATAAGGTGTGAGGTTGAAACGAGAAAGTCAGGCATGAAAGATGTCTGGATATCTACTGATGAGTGGTCAATAATCTGGCCGAGAACTTGCATGGATGGAGCTCTTAAATAGAGTGTGCATCAGGTGCAGGGCACGAATGGCGGAGAAGTGGGCGTGGCAGAGATAATGAGAACCACTCTCCGTCTAGAGAGGATATTTGTGTTTATGAAGTCTCATTAACTTATCTTGAGCAGAAATTATGGGCAGGACAAAAAAAAGTTTACCGACAGACGTACAGAGCTCGCCTTCGACGAGCGTATAAAAATGATTCACTGTCTTTACATTATTTTTAAACAATCATATTGATCAGGGAAGATCAACTTTGTTGGAATATCACTTATTTATAATCAAGATTTGCATAGTTATTTATTTATTATTTGTTTATTTTCCTTTAAAAAAATTGCTGCATTGAAATGTTGATGATTTCTGACTCTGTAGCAGAACATAAAAAACACATCTGACAAGTAGCTAGCTGATTCGTTGCTTTTGGATAACCTTACTGACAGACAGAGTTCACTGCAGAACTTCAGCCTCTAATTCAAACTGCCCGAGGACGACGAGATGAGGAAGGCGAGATGAATTACATTTGTTACAAGCAAAAGTGAAATGTGTGATGGCAGACGTTAGCAGACTAGACACACAGCACATTTCACAGCGAGAATTATTAGATAAACTGCAGCTGCTGTGAATCAGCGAGGAGCTTAAACAGAATATCTGACTTGATCAGAAGCTGCAACAATGTTCAGCGTCAGAGAAATTATAACTGGTCTAAAAGAACACAAAATAAAAATGTGAACTTGCATGATGAAGATTGTTTAAGTTTAGCTTTAAACTTTAAACTCCATTCAGTTTGTAACCTGAAGTAAGCACAAACAAAATGGATGTCTGGATTTAAATGTCAACACTACAGTATCTTTCCGTGTGTTGTGTAAAATGAAACATAAGCACTATAGTGACTGATGATAAGGGTTTTGGTATTTAAAAGTTGCTTACCAAGTCGCTGCAGTCCAAACTGTCCAAAGTCTTTGCCCTGAATGAAGCCCTGGAACACGTAGCTCCCCCCCTCAGGCTCAGCAGAAACCTGGTAGGAACAGAGAACACGCCGTTCCAGGAACAGGACGTTTTGTTTCAACTGCACACGTACAATTTTCTTTTTCAGGCAACTCAGTCAGTGTCAAGTGTGTTCCACACTCCATCCAAACCTGCAGATATACTGTATTAAGTGCCACGGTTCACACATTTTGTCATGCTACAAAATGAAATGGCACCTTTGTTATTTTTGAAATTGCACTTGACAATAGAAGCTGAGCAGTGTGCTATCAATAGCTCAGCACACTGCAGTCACCTGTCACAACCTCTTGTTCAGCACACTTTTTGAAGTTTGCTGTGGCAGAAATAAATGTTCACATCCTAAAATGTTCTGGAGCTGTTGCAGGGCTCGCAGATGTCAGATGAAACTGTTCAGAAGCTAACGTGCAGCTGTGATCAGTAGTTTACACACCCTCATCAGAGGCATGGATGACATTCATTTTGGTCTGTTAAAGGTTTACTTCAACCATACTTTTCCCAGGGTGAAAGGATATTAAACAAGATTACAGCATACGGCACATTATACGCCTGCCTGCAAATTATTATAGCAAAACAGCAATCTATAGCTTTGACTCGGACAAGCAAAGACCTTGATTTGTGACCTTGACCTTGAAGCTGGGGTGATGAAAGGTTTGTGACACTCCGTCCAGTGATGATGCAGATGAAGGGCTTAATTTGCAAACTGATCAATGCTGGAATGCAAATAGCAGGCAGGCCGATGGATGTGTGTGTGTGGAGGATGCATGGGAGGCGGGGGAAGTGGAGGGAGCTTGTAGGTCCTCCTCCCCCTTAAATTTTTGAATTTTTTGCATTTTGGTGTAGCCTATTTTAACGGGTTATTAAACATTTACGTTTACCTACATTTGTAAACACTTGATTCAATCACTATTTTAGAGAGCAACAGCAGGTTGTGTGTGAATAGAGCAGCTCCGATTCTGGCAAGCATGCCCCCCCCCCCCCCCCCCCCACCCCCCACACAAACTTCATGTTTCGGAGCTGAACTCTTCTCCGCTGATTTCATTCTTGCGCGTTGTTGCTCCTGCTGCTCCAACCTCAGTCACGATTGCCTTCTCAGTTGTCCAACTAAGGACAATCCATCCATTTATTTTATGAAAGTAAATTGGACTGTCTTTTCAACATTTTGATCGCTGTTATTTTGACAAATTAACATGGTTGTTTTGATTCATGATTAATGTGAAGAATAAACATCAAACATTTCTCTCCTTGTATTTTTTTTACTGTATGTCTGAAATGTATGCGTGAGTTCACATCAGGAGGCAGCACGGTGGCGCAACTGGTAGAGCTGCTGCCTCTCAGCAGCAGGTCCCCGGTTCAAATCCAGGTCCGGAGGCCTTTCTGGGTGGAGCTTTCATGTTCTCTCCGTGCATGCGTGGGTTTTCTCCGGTTACTTCGGTTTCCTCCCACAGAACAAAAAACATGCATGTTAGACTTATTGGTAACTCTAAATTGTCCTTAGGTGTGAGTGAGAGAGTGAATGGTTGCTTGTCCCCTTTGTCTCTATGTATCCCCGTGATGGACTTGCAACCTGTCCAAGGTGTACCCTGCCCCTTGTACAGTGATTGCTGGACATGGACATCTGTGACCCCCCGTGACCCAAAATGGAAGAAGTGGGTAAAAGATAATGAATGGATGGACGGAGTTCACATCAGGAGTTGTGCGAGCTCAGAGCTGTCTGGAGACGCTCCTGTGTAGAGCTGTCATTTCTAACCCGAACCTGGAGCCCGGCCCCGCCCAACCCGGTTTCGAACCGGGCCGGGCCATAATAATGTGCTTAATGTGCAGGCCGGGTCGGTGTCGGGCTTTTTATTGCGTCAGGGACAATCCTATTATATGCCAACAAGGCTTGCAATACTGTCACCTGCTGCAGGTGGCCATTTGACTGTGCTCTGACTGTCTGGTTGAAAGAGGTAAAAAGTTCAGTTAAGCTACAGATGGACTACTGCCAGCGATCCATCAGCCCAAATAGGTTCATTCAGCCGCTGCACTCAGCGGACGAGCGCGGCCGACGAGATTGGGTGGTGCGGGCTGGGGCCAGGTCGTATTTTTTGGACCAGAGTGCAACTCTACTCCTATGCATAATGTGCAATGTCTGCAGGGAGTGCCACTGAAGGTGTCGGATGAAGACGCTTCATCCCCGTGGGACATGCTGTCCACGTCTCTGCTGGGCAGCAGAGTGTGCGTGAGCTGGTGCGCCTGCTGCAGCCGTAATATCCACTCTACAGACTGGGTCCGCCAGGCTAAGGGCAACTTCTCCTCTCATTGTGTTCTTAATAAATAATCCAAAATAAAAATGTGTGATGACTTTGAACTTTTAGGGGCGGAGATTTGATTTGCCGGATTCAAGCAAACAGTTGCTGGAACACACCCTGTCAAAATGAGGGAGTTTTCAGATCCTGTTCCGGCAGGATCCAGCTCAAATTAAGCACTGTGCATGAGTAGAAATTTTTTTTAAATTACCTCGAGCCAATCAGAAGTTGTGGCTCGGAAAAAACAAACTTTACGTACGTATGGAGACTGTACCGTAATACGTCTCCCCTTTCAACTGGCGTATAAAAAACACAAATTCAATGTATTTTAAAAATAATAATTTAGAAAATATAGTTTTCTTTCTTTTTTCTTTCTATTTCGCACTGGGTTGAGAAAGCAGACCTATTCATCATGTTTGTGTGTGTCTCTTTCTTGTCCTCTCAAAGCCCAGCCGGTCGAGGCAGATGGCTGCTCATTCTGAGCCTGGTTCTGTCCGAGGATTCTTCCTGTTAAGAAGGAGTCGTTCCTTTCACTATTGCCAACGTGCTGCTCAGGATGGGGGAATGCAACAAAATGAAGATTTGATGCAATCTGCTGGCTTCCTTAAGTAACGTTTTACTAATTGGGTTTTTACAAGTGAAAAAAAATCGTATTTGTTAGGAACGGACAGACTGTAATGAATTTGAATCTGGTCTGACTTGTTTGTTGTTTTGTACAGTGCTCTGAGAAGACTTTTAACGTGAATTGGTGCTATATAAATGCTAAACTGAATTACTAGAGAGACCTTTAAGTTGTAGTTTCATTTAAAGAAAACTCATTTCTGGTTTTCACAAAGTTACAGTCCTGCCTGAAACATCCTCGTCTGTCAGAATGGATTAATTAATCCAATTAAAGTAAAGAAAAATGTTGCAAATTGTATTTATTCTTGTAAAAAAGATTATTTATGTACACTTACAAATCCATCCATTGTCCAGTTCTCCTCAGTAATCCTGTTTAAGGAGCTGTAGGCTAGCGCTCTCATTTGGTACAGCAAGAGCATCAACCGGGCCTCCTGACGTTTGTAGACTCCTACACAACAGAAATTAACAAGCAATGAAACCTGGAACTGGGGTGAAATAGAAACCTCAAATAAAGAAAACTGCTGAGGAGGAAGACAAAAAGAGGCAAGGAACTCAGACAGAGCAGAATAATTCATTCGTCTTTAAAACCAATAGTTCATTTCCAGTCTCATGCATGAGATCGTTTGGTGATTGACTGATTGACACCAGGCACCCTCAGAATAAATGGAAGTGACATACAGAGGTGCTGTGGGAGGAAGCAGAAGACAGATGATTTATAGATGACTCACCAGAGAGCAGAAACTCCATGCTACTGTCTGTTAAAGTTACATTGACTTTTCCACTTGTGGCGTTAAAGCTTGTGACGGTCAGACTCATCGGCTGCTTCTGGCCCTTGTAGTCATAGGAGCCTTTCCAGATGAAATCAGGAGCAAACACATCGTCAGGAACTGCAGAAAAAAAAGACATTGTTTGAAAATTAAAATATTTTTAACTAAACTTGAACACTTGTATTTCAAAATGTATTTGTATATGCAGAGAGAATATCATTTTGTTTAGACAATCTCAATAATTAAGTTTCAACAGAGACAAAAATGACATGCTAAAATCAGCAGAACATTTTTTTTTTCATAATTAGAAAACAACAAACAGCCCCTTCCCAGCGTTTTGCTCCATCATTATCTGCTGATAATTATATTATATTGTTTTTTGGATTTGAGGAGACAATTAGAAGAAAAATAAAAAGTGACAACTTCTCGCTAATCAGATGAAACAAACTCGGACATAATCACAACAATCACACTGTAATTACAAGGAAAAGAAGGCTTAAAAAGGTAGAAGATAAATGTAAATTTATTGTAGATTCCTAATACCCGTGTTGTGACTGCTGTTAATAAGCTACTGTCAAACTCAGGAACACTGTTGATTAAAAGGTCAAACAAAACTCTAAAGGAAATAAAAGCATGTAGTGTTAGTGAAGCAACATGTTCATATGATCATGTAAAACAGAGGATACTTGCGTGAACACACCAGGTAAACCCATCTTAGGCTCCCTTCACACTGGTTAATGACCCCGCTATGATGTAAATGATGTATGATGATAAAAATCAACTGGAATGTTGGTGTTTTTTTTGTTTTTTTGCAGTCATGGTGAGGTTCACTACTCACTAGGCCCCCAGGTTCACTCATGCCCTAGTAAACCTATATTTATATATTTGTACTATGTATTTCTATTATAAATACAAAAAAAACAGGGAACACAAGCCAGTCTCTTGTGCCGGTACCAAGCTCGGGTAAATGGTGAGGGTTGTGGCAGGAAGGGCATCTGACATAAAACACTTTTGCCAAAACTAATTTGCGAGTTCATCTAAGCAAGCACACGGGTTGAACAACTGGGAGATAAAGTTAGAGAAGCCAGACTGAGATGGTTTGGACATGTCCAGAGGAAGGACAGTGGCTATATTGGTAGAAGAATGTTAGAAATGCAGCTGCCAAGAAAAAGACAAAGAGGAGATATATGGATGCAGTTAGAAAGGACATGGAGGTAGTTGGAGTGAATACAAAGTGACATGGAGGAGAAGGACTCGCTGTGGTGACCCCTGAGGAGGGAAAAGCCAAAAGAAGAAGAATAAGGTGAGGTTCACTACGGCATATTTAGAATGCACTGGGCTTCCCATTATTCTGGATAGTTGTGATAGATCCATGAAGGTTCAGAGTATGCACTACTTGTGCTTCTTTATAATGTAGGGTCTCTGTGCACCAGTTTAGCATGGCCATGAATAATTTGAAGCAGGGCGTGATACCCACCCTGATGTGGACCGAGAGGGTTGTAGATGGGACATGGGGCCTGAAACCTGGGCATGGTGGGATTGTGGGTGTATGTGGTGGCATTGTTGTGGGAGTATACTGCAGACAGATACAGTGTGATACTGTCACAGGAGAGCAAGGAAGAAAAAACTTATTTGGTGAGTACTATGAGAGCATCATGATTGTGTTCACAGTGAAGAAAGTTTTCCAAATTTACTGCAACCCAGCTACATTTTAATACTTTGTAGATTATGTTACAGGAATTAGTGATGTCACCATTTAGAGTGAAGGAGGTTTAAGGTTCAGAGGCTTCATGCAGTAGTATGTAAAAAAACAATTTAGATTTATCTACCGGTAACCGTGCATATGCATGTTTCTGCACACTTTTCCTTTATACATCCCAACGAACGTGGAACTGAATGCACATACGACACCTCCCCTGACATGCTTCTATTTAAATGTACAAATATGTCCTGTATGTGTGATTCTTCTCCCTGCATGACCAAAGATGATGTCTAGATGCAGGAAAACAAGGAAATTCATGGATTGTGTCATAGATACCCCTTAAATAAAGTATTGAGGTGTAAAATGCATTTATCCACTGTTCTCTGGCATGCACAAAGCTGCAAATTGTCAGGGAAGTGCACATTCACAGAAGTAACAAAAAGGTTAATTGGTCAGACATGAAGGTGGGAGTGAAGCAAAGGATGGCCACCTATTGCCTCTCATTCAAGACGTCGCTCACTGTACATGAATTGTTCATAAACACTGTTGTTGTAAATGAATGACCTAACCCATGTAGCAGATCTGTCCAGTTCCCTCTGTAAGGCTCTGGTTGGCTCCGGACGCTTGGGTCAGTTCAGCACAAAGTTCTAAAATAATGACCCTGGGACTTTAAATTGGCCATTAACCCAAACATCAAACCAACAAATTGGTATGATCCTTGAAAACAAGCTCCTTCCCAGTTCTTCTATTTGCGATGTCCTCCCACAGCGTCAACACAGCCATTGTTCCACAACTACGTACAACTTTATGCAGCTATTTAAAGCCATGTGTCATTGTCTACACCAGGGCTATTCAACTAAACTGCTCAGGGGGCCACAGTTACTGAAACCCAAGGGCTCAGGGGCCACACATCCAGCTATTGTCATTAAGTAAGTTTGTTTTATGGTTTAAAGTCTAGTCTTATTTAAAAATGAATCCATTGGTGGGTTGAACTGAGCTCACCCATGGGCCTGATTTGGCCCCGGGCCACCAGTTGAATACCTCTGGTACACCTTGTTGCCCTGAAGAATCATCAAATGAAACAACAACAGAAAATTGTTGCCAAAAAGAATGGAGTCATATTTTGGTGTGTTTAGGTGAGTTTCTGTATTTTGCAGTTTGATAATGTTGATTGAAACATTTTGTGTGGCAGTGCGTATATTCTCGAGGCAGGTCAACAGTTTATGTATATTTGAGTACACTTTGACACAACGTTCGTTTGCCTACATCCTGACAAGTCACATGGCATATGTGGCGTTTTTATATGGATGCACCGTTCATACGAGACCCCTGGTGTTTGGACACAAAAGACTAGGTAAAAAAATAAAAAATAAAAGTTGGAAACAATCTAAAACTCTGTATTAAACTTACTGGTATTATATAAAAAAGTGTAATGTGGTATTATACATAGTGCAATACTTTTAACATAGACTAATCACAAAAGGCAGCAATAAAATGTAATTATCTGCAAACGTCTGTTACAATATTCTACTCTCACACATTTCTAGAGTGTCTTTGACTCTTGACACAAAAATGCAAATGAGATTCTTCTGAACATTACAATTATAAATAAATCTATTACCAGTTACATGCACATACTATGGTACACATTAGATGTAGGCTAATTAAAATACTGCACTGATATTTTCTAATTAGGCACACTGTGCTTCTTTCATGACCTTTTCATACTTCCTAATAAGATTTTTTGCACTAATTACATTTAATTATGATTTGTAGTAATATTCATCCTTGATTATTCAAAGTTTTCAATACAGAACTGTAAAACAAAGAGAATAAGGGGACTAGTTATGAATCACACCAACAGCTTTTTTCTCCAAATCTTTTGTTCTGACTGATTGAAAAAAGTGCACAGATGTTTTTTCTCCTTTAGACATTACAATAAACATAACAGTGGACTGAGATTACTAAATTAATAACATTACAGAACAGTCCACCTGTTATTGAAGGTTTGACAAGGAATTTTGTTCAATCAAATAATTAGTTACCGTGGTTGATTGTGGTCAATTTCAAAAACAGAAAAGAAAAGTCAGTATTTTTTTAGCTCTGCAGTTTGTGTCTTTAAATACTCACCTTTCAGCTTGGGGCTTGGTGTCCCTGGGACGTGTTTGACAATTTTCTCATGTGACTTTGATCCGACTGCAGATAAACATAAATATGCACGTCACAGAGATGTACACACAGCTAGGCTTAACAGCTATAGGATCCTTCCAATGTGAAAATGACTTAAACTGTAACAAGCTGCAATATTAAACATTTCCTTAATTTCTTCAAGAAAGCTTATTTCTAATGTGAATGTTTATGTATAATAAGAAAAATCTCTGCCTTATAAAAGCTAGTTCATAACACCAGGACAGAGCCATTCTTCCATGTTCAGTATATTCCAAAGCTTATGCTGAACAGTTTTTAGTTTTACTCCATCATCTGCGACCTCTGCCAGCAGCGTACCTCTGCATACAGGCACCTTGCCAGTCCAGCTGCCGTCAGAGCGGCAGACACGATGCTCCGAACCCCCGGAGAGGAAATAACCCGGCTGACAGGTGTACACCAGGGTGTAACCGTAGGAGGGCAGGTCCAGACCCATAACGTCAGCATTGGCTGGGCTCTTCGGCTGCTTGCAGGAGTGAGCTGAAGATTAAACAGAGGGCAAATGTGTTTCTATACACACTATCTGCTCAGATAACAAAGAAGCAATATACACACACGTTCAAGTGCACACTAATACACACAAACAGAAGTATAAGGAAAAGCAAGACATTTTAACCCACTATGGGGAGAGAGGCAGAGGTTGAGGAAAAAAATAGAAAAGGACTACGAGGAGAGCCTCTGTCAAAGCCAATGATTTCTTTAGTTTTCATGGCAGTATTTGGGAGATAGTCGCCGGATCAAATTCTGGCCCAGGGCCATTCTGGGTGGAGTTTGCATGTTCTCTCCGTGCATGCGTGGGTTTTCTCCAGGTACTCCAGTTTCCTCCCACAGACCAAAAACATGCATGTTAGACTGATTGGTAACTCTAAATTGTCCCTAGGTGTGAGTGAGAGAGTGAATGGTTGTTGGTCTCTATGTGTCCCTGTGATGGACTGGAGACCTGTCCAGGGTGTCCCCTGCCTCTCGCATAATGATTGCTGGATACGGGCACCAGTGAACTCTGAGACCTGAAAAGGAAGAAGCAGGTAAAGATAATGGATGGATGGATGGATGGATGGATGGACAAGTATAAAGTTCAACTTGTTTTTCTATATTATTGCAGATATAAATAAAAACAAACATCTCTATTGGCTGAATTTTATTTATTATATTCATAAAAAGTCCATGAAGGAGAATCAATTCTTAATACTCGCAGTTTTGTCACTGTAATGTGTGGCTTGGCATGCTCACTACTTGATTCTTACCCTAGTTTACATAAAAGTTTAAAAGATCAAAAGCGTTGAATTACAAACCACAAAAATCGTGTGTTATGATGCAGTGCATGGAGTGCAACACGAGGTCTTGCAGAAGTGATAACACTTCAGCCAGAGGTTAAAACTGGAACATTTATTATGATGTTTTTTTTTTAAATAATCTACATACTCCAGATATACACACAACTATTACCAGGGTCCTGTTTACATCATGAGTTTACAGAAATAGCAAACATCCTTCTAAGACTTGGATGAGGTGCAAATGAGCACAAAGGTTGGAAAGTCTCAAGCGACCTTTTTCCATGGGCTCGACTCGACCCTACTCAACTTGACTCGGTTCGACCCGGGGTGACTTCAGAGTCTTTCCGTTGAATAATCCCACCTACTTCCAACTCGGTTCTTCTGAGCGAGCCAAGTCGAGCAGAAGGCTTGACGTCAGCAGACTGCAGAACACTGACTGACCAGAGAGCGGTGTTGACAGGGACTTTATTGTACTTATTTTGATTGGTGGTAACTTCTGGGTGGCCAATCAGGTTGAGGTGGTGCTCATTTATAGGGAAAACTACAGAGACCGTGTAGAAACAAGCTGGGTCAAATTATGGCAAAGTAAGACTGGACAATAGAAAATGGCAAAAGACACAAATCCAGAGGAAGACAAATGTGATCACACGAGATTTAGAAGAGCCGCCTGTGTCTCATCACACTGTATGAAGTTAAAACTGATTAAAACTGGGTTCTACTTTGTTACAGCAACATTCTTTTAAACTACTCCTGAAATAAAATAGAACTTACAAATAATACGTATAATATGATCGTTAGTCCTTAATACAGTATCTAGTGCTACTATACAGTTTTTTGAGTAATCATACAGGCTTTAAAATTAAGCAACATATAATCCATCCATCCATTTTCTTCTGCTTATCCGGGGTCGGGTCGCGAGGGTAGCAGCCTAAATAGGGAGGCCTACTAAACTGACCTCAAACCTCTCCTTGACCCATGTGAACTACACATGGCCTATAGCTTGAATGTAATCCAACCCATGAAGACAAAAGTCTGGAATCCTGCTCATCCTGCTCAGTCATTAAGACAGAACATTTCGCCCTTGATAATGACCCGGATCAGAGCAGACCCTCTAAATGTCTGATTTTTCAATCATCACTCGCTTCACTTGAAGGCAATTCTTCTGTACATCCTTTCCTGTGCAGCAAGAACTGCAGTCTCCTCAGAAGAGCAATCCAGTCTACATTTGATTAACGCTAAGGACCGCTGCCCTCTGGTCACACATGCTACGCACATTGATCAAGTCTGCTTGTGGAAGTCAGTCAGAGCCTACTCGGAGGACACTTTTAGCCTCGTTGAAGTGTTGTGATTTCGCCTGCAGAAGAAACTGAATCTTTATGCAGACGTAGCTCAGAGGATTGCATTTTATTTATTATGCTAGATTTGGAAATTCAGGCAAATTTAGGTTGGAAACCATCACCGTGCCAGTAAAATCTGTCAGCTCAGGTATACATACAGCCATGAAGGTGACAGGAAGAAGCGAACGCCAGTGATTTATGAGCAGTCTCTTCTCAGTGAAGCTCAGAGGATATTGACCCACACATCACATATTTTTAAGATGAAAAGCAAGCGCTTTCCCTCCAGCAGACAATGCTGATATCTTTAAAAAAAACTTTCTTCTGCTGCAAACTTTAAAACAAACGAAGGCTGAAGGGAATGTGGAACAGCGAGATTAATCCTCAAATGCCTCCATTCCTCAAAGCAACCGAGTCTGATGAAGTCTAAGGCAGCTTTTTTAACCTGAACTCTTCTTTTATTTGTAAATGAACTCATCTGTCTGTCTGTCAGTGTGTCTACATGTCTATAAAGTCTGTGTTTTTTTTTTTTGCTTGTTTCTAGCATGTGCAGTACATGCTATCTGCAGTACTTTACGTAACACATTCTGTTGGGACACTGGTAAATGTGGAATTTGTTCAAAGTTCTTGTAAAATATTTTAATTACCTCCTCTTATTAAATAATTATTTGCAACAAGTATATATAATATTCGCTACGTGTATATTTTGTAACATGAAACGTTTAAATTAAGTTTCAGAAGTCATCTGAGCAGGGGGGATAAAAAGTTGGTATTGGTCACATGATTGATCGAGAAAACTGAAGAAAAGACTTTGATGAGACAAAACCGAACTATTTGATGAACACCACCAGGAAGTGCTCATTATTTTTCTTTTTGAATACTAATTTTCAAACTTACAAAGCTCCTTAGCTGAAAAGAAAAGTGGAATCAAGGAATAACAAGCGGTATGCCGATGTCCGCCATTGCTGAGTGATTTGAGAAGTGAAAGTTTATACAGGTAGTTTTGGAGATGAGTGTTTCCCTAGACTTGAATTTAACATAGAATGCAAGTAACAGAAACCTTAATGTTCTTAGGGCCATATTAAAGTGGGTAGGAGTTACAATGTGGAGGAGAACAGAGGTAGTTTATTTTAATTTTTGCTTGTCTGAGGTAGCACAGAGTAACAGATCTTGGCGAGTGGAGGGAGAAATTTTATCCACCACCAAGTACAGTGGTGGAGTCAGGAGGTGGCCAGTGGTGGCTTTGACCACCATGGATTAAACTTCGCTCACCCCAATCATTTGAGGAAACAATAATTTTAACCAATATAAAAGCTAGAAATAGTGATTTCAACAAACTGTATATATATATATATATATATTGCAAGCCCCACTTTTCAGTTTTTTATTTGTTAAAAAAGTTTGACACATCCAATAAATTTCATTCCACTTCAAGATTGTGTCCCACTTGTCGTTGATTCTTCACAAAAAATTAAAATTTTATATCTTTAAGTTTGAAGCCTGAAATGTGGCAAAAGGTTTAAAAGTTCAAGGGGCCGAACACTTTCGAAAGGCACTGTATGTATATATA